ATTCTGGGCCACAAAGCAAAAGGTTCACTGGGCTCCTTACAAGAGACTACCAAAGTAACAGAACAGATAGCCATGGCTATGTCTGTTGCCACTTTCTCAAGGGCAACAAAGTTCCGCGAAAGAGAAGGGAATGCACAACAATATAACAGTAGAAGGAAAAAAAAAAAGCAACCTTTACGCGGTATGAAGCTTTTCTTTGGTGGTTGTTCAATGTCTTATATGCCTATGTATTTCTACTATCTACTAATCGACTGTTAGCGACAACAGTCTGCATAATTTTCACAACTATACATCATATGTTAAACGCTCAGAATAAGAGAAGGCATAGGATAATGCAGCAGCAAAGAAAGATGGATAATCTGTTAAGAGATTTTTCCACTTGCCTCATTCTAAAACCGCCACTTCCTGGAATGGTGGAAGTGTTTGGGTGAGGATAAGCAAATAAACTTGTGTCTGAGTTCCCAAACATCCTTCCCAAAAACATTTCTCCGAATACCCCAACTGTTGGGCTGGACAAACTGATCGTTGAAGTACCCCCAAAGCTGGATGGAGCCAAAGCAGCATAGCTACCAAAGGCAGAGGGGACGGATCGTCTGTGATGAAGTTGCTGACTCACGTGAGAAGCTGGAGACAATGAATTAACGAGAGTTGCTATCTCGATGGCTTGAGGCCTGCGTGGTACTACAACATCCCGTTGAGACTTCTTGGATTCAGATTCTGGGGATGATGTTCCACGGCCATAAAGAGGTACCAGCGATGAGTTTGAGATGTGAGCCTTACAGACTGGACATTTACATTTCTCTTCTGATCCCGGAGTAGATCTATCAACTTGAAGCCACTTGTAAATGCAAGGCCAGCAGTAGAGGTGTCCGCAGAGGGTGACAACAGGATCGTGTGCCGAGTCGAGACAAATATTGCAATCATAACCTCCTGTTATATTGTCAGAACTTGATGTTGGAACTGGAACTGGAATTGCACTCCCCTTCTCAAGGGAAACATCTTCTTCAGATACAAAAGTGAACATATCTTCATCAACAAAATTTTGTTCCACAGCCATGAGGTCTGTTAAAACGGAAAAATTTGCAAACAAATCAGTCACCCTATAAAGTTCATTCAGACACTCCACAAATAAATCCATAGGAAGTAAATGACCATCGATACAAACTTAACCTGAAAATCTACAAGGACAGGATCTATAAAATAGCTTAAAACAAGAAATGAACCATTTGAATGAAAAGATACACATTCATCAACACAACAACATGATTGAATGTCAACAACTTCTATCGAAGCATGAAATCGGATATCCAAAAGACTTATTATATACAGTTGGTCCATTTCTGATGAGTTGACCATTTGGAAAGCAAAATGAAGAAGACAACTTAACAAAGCATCTTCCAGTTCTTCCTTTTTTTCGTTTTCCTTTTCTTTTAGAACTTAGCCTATAGGGAGTATGCGTGTGATTAGGGAGCAAGGGTTGGAAAAATTAGAGTCCCAACTCCCAAGTAAACACGCTTTAAATACTAAACCATATAATTGCATCCATTCGCTAGAACCTGTCTTCTTCAAACCAGAAGTGGCGGGGCTGAAAAATTAGATCACAAAGCTAGAGTGTGGCTAAAACTGCAGTTCAATTCGTTTTGATTGACAAACTCCAGTCTACATCTCCAAGCCTACATTTCAAGTCTAAAAGACGAAAACACATAGAAACGCAGTCGGAAAGGTTAATATTCTTATGCCGATAGGAGATAAAAACACAAAATTTTGATGGCACAAGTTTGACATATAACAAAATTATCTCCTCAATTCCTCTTTCCATTTCTCCATTTCATAAATGCACGCAAAACTTTCCCTATCATGCATTTGAAACGAAACAAATAAAATTCTTCAATTTCTGAAACAAAATAGGCATTGCACAAAACTAAAATCATCAAAAGAACTCACTTACACAAACAGTTCAATGAATATAAAGATTTTATTTTACACAAAACTAATCAACACCATTAATTCTTTCTGTTTTTGTTTCCACCCTGATCCAACAATACCCGCATTAGAACCCGACTAATTCATAGTAATTTTTTTCATTTCTTTGGCTCAAACCCGATTAAAACATGTAATTCATCCCCGATCCCACAACATAGCAACACTAACTACTCCTACCCATAACCAAAAAAAAAAATTAACCAAAAATTAAAGTAAGTTGACCAAATTCCTTCACAATGTCAAAATCCAAAATTAACAATCTTAACCTCAAATTGAAAATTTTCCATTTTCTCAATCAACACAAAACTCAAAACAAACATAGATTACAATGAACAGAAATCATAACAAATAATTCAATCAATAATATGCGAAAACAAAGATCTCAAAAACATAAACACAAAAACAAAAAATAAGATGAAAAACGTACCAATAGATGAAAAACGTAAGGACGAAGTTTCAACAATGGCGAATTGCAGAAAGCGAAGGTAAAGAGACGGTGAGAAAAAAGATGAAAAATTGAATGGAGGAGGATAACGGGTCAGTTTCGATATTTATTGGGGTTGATTTTGTATTTATAGAAAGTTCAGTTCTCAATTTTCATTTCTTATTATTACTTCTCAACCGCGTAATTTGAGAAAAATTAGGGACGTGCGTGTAACCCTATTTTCTCAGTAGTTACTATTTTTTTCGATATCTATTTTGGGACTCGATATATTTAATTTCTTATCCAAATGTTATTTAAAAAGTAAAACAGGTTATTGAAAGCGATTTTATATAATAAAAAAGTTATTACTCCGTTACTAATTGACAATGCGCTTTAGATTTTATTTTTTCGTTTAATCGAATTTTATTATTGATAATGTCTATTAATGTCAACATACGAATCTTTGAATCGAAACCCTTTCCAACTAAATATTTGTCTATTTCAATCTTTAGGGTCAAACTTGAAATATTTAAATAATACGAAGAAATTTCAGTTATTATATTATGCTTTATGATTATTATTTCGAATTCGATGAACGTAGTGGTTCATGATTTGGATTCTTACATGTGATATTATTCCTAAATATAATTAATTGTTGTGTATTTATATTACTTTATTAGTTTTAAGATGAATTTGAATATGAGTAAGATTTTTTGTTTTATATTTGATAGATATATTAAATGATTTTTCTTCATACGACCTAATATTGATTGACAAGATTAGTTGAAACCTATTATTTATTGATAGGAAGGAGTAAAATATTGTGTAACTAAAAAACATATATTTTAGCTGACTCAAATATTATCATTATTAAAAGAAAATAATATTTTTCATTACTTTTTGCAAGTTGTATGAACTAGTTTGCCAAAAATAAGATCATGTTTGGAATGACATTATGTTGGGAGGATAAGGTAAAAAATAAAAACTTTAACGTTACGATTAAAAGACACCATTTTAAGAAATTTTGTAATAACTTAATCATTAGATAAAATTTTTAACTTATGTAAAAAAATATCAATACTTATATATATATTCACAATTTAACTTATATACAATATAATTTTTTCGAAAAAAGAAGGATATATTCACAATTAAGTTGTATTTTCCTCTTTCTTTCATTCTTCAACTACCAAAAAGAAAAAGGGAAAATTGTTGGTGGAATTTTAAAATCACTATACTATTATAAAGAGTGATTGGCACGTAAAGTGTGTTTATTTTTCTATTTTTTCTTATTTCAATGTTCAAAACATGTTTCAAAACTAAACATATTATATTAATTATCTTTTTCTCGTCTTTAACCTGATTTCTATCTAAATATTTAAAATATATAAAAAATACGTGAAGTCTTAATTCTTTTTATATTAGTATTCTAAAAATATATATATTTAATAATTAATCAAAATTTATATAGATTTATTACCGAAAAGTGAAGTATGACAAATATCATAAAATGGGTGTAATTCTTCTTAAACTATGTTGGTGTTAATTTAATTGATACTTACATAGAAGATAAGTATACGTTTCTTATGACAATGAGTGCAAACTACACATGTTTAAGTGTTTGATTAATTCTTATAGTATATAATTAATTATAGTTTTAGTTTGAAAGTAATTAATGTTTTCATGTGCACCGTCAAAAAGTTCATTTAATCACGCTAATTTAATACAAGAGCACGTTAATATTTGGAAAAACAAGAGAAAGCATGATCGACTCATTTAAATTTGTGTAATGACAAGGATATATGTGAATCTCTAAATTTACGGGAAGGTTGTTGCACTCTTAACTTACAAATACATTCACATAATTTACTCTACATGATAAATAAGTTAAAAAATAACAAGATACACAAGAAAACTTATGATCATGGTGTTCAGACCACCTTTCACACACCTTGATTGATTGATTCCACAAAATAACTGCCACCTCCACCAACAATAACTCTATCCACCAAAACTAAGACAGATAAAAAAAAATCATATAAATTTTCATGATTCTCAACAACTTCGATCGATTGATTTAGATGTGTATTACTATTATTCAAGATTTCTGATATCTTTATCCCTAACGAAAAACACATGCAACAACCTTCCCAATATATTTGAGCAAATAATCAATGCTAGGTGGGCTTTGAGTAGAACTTATCCACAATATGTTTTGACAGTTTAAGAGTATCTTACAGCCTGTATGTCCATTATCTACAGAGACATAATAAAGTGGAGCACATTTTTTTGCCCTGTAGGTATATCAGAGGGATGGACCAATTAGTTTTTTAAACATACTGTTAATGCCATGTCAGCTGAGAATTATCATCCACATATCGAAGGGCCTGATATACCATCGTTACAGAAATGACTTACATATATTCTTACCATTACACGAATGCCCGGATTTGCTGCCATGAATTGCAGCTCTATCAAACACAAATTTGCTATCAGCAGTCGGCAAGGTATTGAACAGCCCAGAAAACTCTAGCAGTGAGTACCTGAACTCACAAAACCAAAGATTACTGAAAAACATATATAGCATATGTGCTTTGCCTGTGATAGTTTTGATGCTACGGGCACCAAATATTCGAGTTTTTAATCAAAGCATGAGTAGTATTATGCTTTGTTAAAAGCATTTATAAATAAAAAGTGAATTTCTAAACATGAGAAACGATCAACGTAACGTTTAAGTAAGGGGAAACACACAATGCAACCCAACTATACAGGAGCATTACTGGTTTACTTAAACCATCGCCGCACTAGAGGGTGAAAGGGAATAATACGAGTAAATTCCCAGATAATATATCTATATATGCAACATTTTACAAGAATTTTTCTATGGAGGTGGTAAGTGTTGATTTAGGAACTGCACCAATGATTGCATCTTTCTTCTCTCCATTCTTGAATATCATCACGGTTGGGATGCTTCGGATTCCAAATTCGGTTGCAATGGAAGGACTTTCATCTGTGTTCAGCTTTAAGCATGTAAGCTTGCCAACATATTCCTTCGCTAGTTCATCAATGACGGGGTGGATCATTCGGCATGGACCACACCACGGAGCCCAAAATTCAACCAGTACAGGTACAGTAGACTCAACTACAAGTGTCTTCCATGTTTTATCACTAACAGTAGCCACTGCAATTTCCAAGAACTGTGTTAAACCAGCAAATGATGCTAACTATAATGATTAATGAGAAATCTACAACAGCAATTCTCTCCACAATTAACTAGACAGGAAAAGGTTGTGTATCCAATTCTTTAAAAAAACTAATCATATTATGGAAGCTAAAGAGAAAAGTTGACAACAGAACTTCCCATTTTCCCAACTAACCATGGCTAATATAAGTACATAACTGGTGCAACATCTACATCTCACACAAAAGGTCTTAAGCCATGGTGAAACATGAAGATTCCGCAAGGCAAAGGAAGCACTGATATGACCAACAATGTTTAGGCAGTAGCTTCACATGCTAGCAACCAATATTCAATGAATTCTTAGCAGGTAAGTGAAACTATGAAAGCAACAAAGCTTTGAGGGTATTATACCATAGCGGCCCAATGACATCTTTTACACTTTATTGAGCTTATTGTCTTGACAAACTAGTTCGCTTATATAAATTGTTAAAGAGCACAGACCAACATAGTTCTTTTTATAGCTGAGAAATGCCCAAGAGTCAGTGGCGCATGGTTCAAAATTTCGTGGATATAAACCCACCCACTGCCCTTCTCCACTTAAATACCATGCATACAATGCTATTAACTGCAGTAGGATGCAAACCATTACATGCACCTAACATACTATTTCCAATAGAAAAGGAAACAAAGTAAACAAGCAAACAAGAGGAACTATGGAAGAGCTTAGCGCAGGGAACATTACAAGGGTCTTGTGGGAGATGTCAGGTGGTTGTGAAAGGTGAAGGAGCACATGAACGATGTTCCCAATATTTTTACACGAAGGATGTTTCAAATGTTTTGCATTCTCTTGTTTCCTTTCTTCTCTTTCGCAGAGTATCACAACATTATTCTTGTCTCTAAGACTCCTAAAGGACATCTAACACAAGTAATCGACATATTACTAGTGGTTTTCCGGGACAAATTCCAGTTATACTGACCTGAGAGCTAATCCAAAGTTATTAGCTATGTGCACAAAACAACAAACGGCAACTTTGAGGCTCTTACTTGCCTTCGATGTATCAGGATTTAAACACGAGGGAAGAGAAAACACAAAACTTGAGCATTTTCTTCCCTCTCTTTCTACGGAAAGTATCCAAATGTTCAACATTTCAACTGAGAGAGTAATAAATGACAAACACCAGCTCACTATTCAAGGAAAATATAAAGCATACTCTGTTCTCAAATCTACCAACTCTCGCACACTACATAAATCTAATTCAATTAATAAGGAAATTAGGCAAGCAAAGTAACCAACACCAAAATACCGATACTCACAAGCAGAATACAAGGAAAGACACACATATTGTTCACAGATTTCATTTCCCATTCCAAGTAAATATACCTTGAATGCGAAATAACTCAAGTTATTACTATTACTATGAGAACTTATTATCTATTTAGAACAGATGAAACTAAAAATTAACTCATCTTAATAGTAGAAACTTCCACCGTTAACACAATTCAATTTCCTGGAACTGAGTTTTCAGCTAAGGCATAAAGGAGCATGGAGAATTTCAATATAAAGAGTAGTAACAAATACTTTCAGTTACAAAATACCTTCCACGGCGGTATCCTGAGCTTCGCAAACGACTCGTCCTCCTCGGGGAATGATTTTAGAGCATGAGCTAGTGGATACAGATGAGCGAATTGGCTGGATCTTAAGGCCGCTGAATTGAGAGAAGCTAACAGAGAAACGAGGACCGGAGAAGGAATAACCGGCGACCTGAGCAAGCGATGACGACGGCAGCGCCGATGCGCGTGGGACTGTAATGGTTTCCAACACAGCAGCCATGGAAAGAGAAGAGAGAGATAGAGAGTGTGTGTGGATAGTGGGAGAGATGGGGAGGAGAGCGAGAGCGAGTGGATATTTACACAGAGATAGTGAGGTCTGTGGCTGAGGCGAAAATAGTTTGGTTATTGAGTTTTTTTTTTTAAAAAAAAGGTTAGCTAATGTAAGATATATCTTAATTAATTACTCTCTTCGTTTCATAGTTTAATTTATAACGAAATTTTAAAAAAAATTAATTTTGAGATTTTAATTTAAAATTTTATTAAATGTATTAAAATACTCCTTAATCTTGTGGTCATAAATATGCTACGTAAAAAGTTAAAATTAAAATGTAAAGAGATCATTTTTTTTTATAAAAATTAAAAAAAAATACAAAAAGAATATGAATTATGTATTTTATATTAAAATCTTCAACTTAAAAACGAATTATGTATGACTATAATAAAAAATTTTCATATGATATATATTCCAAATTAACTACGTTCCACTGTATCGGAGTTTGGTAATCGAGTTGAGTGGAGTGGAGCGGATGGATGAGGAGTTTTGTGTCTCTATCATCCACGTGCTCTCAGTAATGTTGTTATACATTTTTATTTGATTTGGGCCATTAGATACTTGGGCTGATTACCGTACTCCTAACAGGCCCATTTTAAAGACATTCTTTGAGAAAATAGCCTAATTTGTCATGTACTATTTGATAATTGGACAATTTTATTCTCTGATAATGATTCTCTTAGGATAATCATATCCCTTAATAGGAAATAAAAAGTCTCTTTTTTATATTTCAACTTCATGATTTTCTGTTATAGTTAAAAGTTATGGAGTAAATTTTAACTTCTATTTTATGGCAAAAGTATGAATGAACTAAAAGTCCAGATGAAAAAGTTGAAGCGTGATAGTAAGTATCTCTTTTATTTCTAATCAAATATTTCAAATTCAAATCTTAAAAATAAAATCAAGTTTCACTTTATTCCAAAGCAAAATTAGTCAGACTTTAAAATAAATATTATTCGGAGGAAACAAAACGAAAAGAAAGTGTTATTGGAGTTGGTAGAAAAGGAGACAAAAAGTGTGAATAATCCATTGGGAAGCACAACCTTTAGGAATCAATCTCCCATACCATCCTCGTGTAGTCAGAGTACTATTAGCACAAAGACTTAGAACTTAGAACCTCCCACCCAACATGCCCATTATTATTCTCCCTAATATAAGTATATCACCATTTCCACACCTATAACAACGGCACCAATTAATACTTTTTATGCGATATTAAATTTTGTATAAGTAATATCGTATTAGGTACGAAAAAAATTAGTATATTCAGGTAGTAGGTCAAATGGAAGTTCAAACGTACCGGCACTGGCCCTGTGGTTGGGTCTGTCTGTTTTCTCTGAATGGTCAAAAGTTTCAACTCACGTTTTTATGAATAGAGACAAATTCAGCCCAAATCAATATTGGAAACAGTAGCTTAGCAGCAATAACTCCTGGAAAATGCCCATGCATTCATCTTCTTCGTCTCTTTCACGGCGCCAGAAGCCTAATAACAACAATGAAAATGGCATTAGCAAGTCTATGTCGGCAGAAGAAGAAGTGAAGCTTGCAGCTCTTGCTATCAGCTTTAACATACGGCTCAGATCAGCAGATATGCCTTTCGCCATGCAAGCACATGCCCTTCGTTACGCCAGAACTCTTCTCCTCCAACCTGTGAATCACCGTCCTAATCCCTCCCTCCTCGCTCGCTCCCTAAAAAAGGTGAGTGTGATTCTTCCAATCTAGTTTTCAAATTTGAGTTCGAATTTGAAAATTTGACGCCGGTGAAACTTTTGTGGATTTTTAGGAGTTTGATTCGATGTATGGACCGGCATGGCACTGTGTGGTAGGGAAGAGTTTTGGATCGTTCGTGACTCATTCACCTGGTGGATTTGTGTATTTTTCACTTGAATCGTTCTCGTTTCTTCTGTTCAAGACGGAGGTTCAGTTGATCACTGAAGCAGTAGTACCAACACCTGCTGCCCGCTGATTGGTTGCTGCAGCTGGCGGAGACGGTTGTTGCTTGGTTGACGCCTGTCGGTGGTTAGTTTCCCAATCTCCATTCTGAAACAGATATAGTTGCGAACTTGTTTTGGAGGTAATTTCACAAGCTAATTATGATTGTACATAATACTATTGATATTTCTCTAAGAAAAAAAATACATGTAGCACACTGTTTCCTATTTCTAAGTTCTTTCATCTTCGAATACATAATTCAGCAATATCAATGGTGCACTAATTCCAATTGAGATGGTTCCATAAAGCTCAACGTCGCTCTAGACAACACTAAGTCATCTAATAGAATCTTACTCTGCTTTAAGACAAGTTTCTTTCTCTCCCACATGAACTGCTCTACCTTGTCTACATCTTCCGGGGTGTCAACACCATGAGTCTCATGGTCAACTTTTTATCACCTGAATACAGGACGAGATCCATCCAAAATAATAAAAACACTGATAAATTAACCGGAACGAGTAAACGGTTAAGTCAAGCTTGCAGATTTAGTACCTTCATCTATTATCTCAGGTTCAATAAGAGGTTCATCTCCTTGTATGTTAACAACAATGTTACATTTCTTCCCAAGCTTTTGAAATGCTTCATTACAACGCTCAGTTCCTCCAATTTAATAACTGAGCATTAGCAATCTCACCGACTGAAATTCTCATAAGTAGCAAAATTTAGGATTAAGAAAACGACGGATGTTCTGTTTACCATTTCTACATGATTCAGAGCTCATTATTACTTCAGCACCAAAACCTTGACAGCACTCTAGCTATCTTTTCATCATCTGTCTGAAATTCTCTCTTCCTTTTCTATTTTCTTCCAATAGTTCGACCTATCCATAAGTAGCAAAATTTAGGACTAAGAAAATGACGGATGTTCTGTTTACCATTTCTACATGATTCAGAGCTCATTTTTACTTCAGCACCAAACCTTGACAGCACTCACATATCAGCATTTGTGATTACTACCACCAACTATTGCTACTCTTTTCTTTCCTATTTTTCTTTGTCGAAGGTTGGGGTTGGGGTTACGAGAAGTAGTCAAGTTATGTGAAATGGAGACGTACCAACATGATCCAATGTAGCAGCAAGTTTAGCCTGTTCCCATGCTCTCTGCAATAATTCCGATGACCCAGCTCTGAAACCTGACGGATTGGACAAGGTACGCACGAGAACTGAGAACGGCGGCCATTGCAGCTCCTACAGCTAGACCATTTAGGATTTATGATTTTAGGATTTATGATTTTGAAGAGCCAGACGATGATGAATGGAGAGTTGAAAAAATTATGGCAGATCTAGTTTTGCTAGCTCCATGTTCAATTGAATAGGAGGTGTTACAACAAATAGGAGTAGATATTGTATTTAAATGGCTATAAAGGTCTTATTAAATGTGAAATGAATTACTATTAATTATAAATTAAGTATCACATAAATTATAAATTAGAACCGATACAAATGATTGATAGAATAGATAACTCTGTATCCAAGACTGCTCAAACCTAAAACCTCTTTAAAAGTTAGTAAATTAAAATGTGCTCTCTTATCTGTATTGTTACATCTATAATCTTAATTTGGCACAGATTTAGAGAGTAAAAATTATAAGAAATGTAAAAATGTGATGTTAAATTTATTTGCATGGAATATTGAAACTAAAAAGTAAAGCAAATAATGCAAATTGAAAATGTAACATTTGGAAAAGAGAACGAACCAATTACTTTGATCAGCAAAGCAAAAATACACTGATACTATTAGCCTATAGCAAAAGAAAAAAGTGCAAATCGGACTTGGTCCAAATTTCAAGCTGTATAAGCGCCGCCGCCACGGGAACCACCACTACGGCCGCCGCCACGACGGCCATAGTCATCGTCATCCTCATCAGAATCATCATAGCTTCCATACACATCATCAAATCCCTTCGATTCATCATCATCAGAATCGTCAAAATCATCTTCATCATCAGAATCGTCTTCGACATCTTCTTCCAGATTAGGACGTCTCATGCTACTGGTCGATCGGCTTCCACGAAGCTCCATCAAAGACAAATCAAAAACAGGCAAACCGGAGCCGATACCAATCGGGAAGTTCCAATTCAGAAGAAATTCATCCGCATTTGACACACTCAACTTTTTACTATCAGAGAAATGCCCAGTCAGAATCGACTTTGGTTGAAATTGAGGGGAAATGATAGATGAGCCTACAGAGGCGGCGGCGGTGGTAGCTCCGGGGCGGAGGAGCTGACGGTGAATGATATTTTGGAGTGAAGTTTTGTTGGTTAAGCTTTGAAACCTAGATACAGCAGCCATGGTTGCTAAAGCTGTTTAGCTTCACTGAAAACGAAAGGGTTTTATAAGGGTTTAAGAGCTCTAGGGTTTTGGAGGGTTCTAGAGATTTATTAAAAAAGAAGGAATAGTAGACTTATAAAATAATTTTAAGCTGCCGGCGAATATATAATTTTAATATATATTTACATATCAAATATAATAAATTCAATGTTTTAAGAAACGACTATAGCTAATAACAAAGATAAATATAACTAACACACAAAATTGAACAAATATTCATAGGACAAATATGAGAGATAATAAGAGATACAAGTAATACAGTAAAAGCCAAATACTGTTATACAACATGAAAGATATAAAAACGAAAGCAATTTGTTTCTTAAAAAAAACTATGCCCTGTTTATTCTGAATATGTAAAAACACTGTTTTTGTATATTTGATCAGTAAGAAAATAGCTAACAAAATTTTCGTAATGATAACATGTATTGGACATTCTACATAAGTATATTAGCTTTCTTCTTTTTTTAGAGAATTAGTTCTGTAACCAGTTTCAGACGTTGAAGCCTTCAGCTCGAAGGCATTTAAGATGAGCTTCGATCCATTTCTCACAAGCTGATTCACCGTGTTCAACAATGCATTCATCTCTCACCTTTTTAGTCTCTGGACAAGCACAGCAGATCTTCTTCTTTGGCTTTGAATCTGCCGGGACTGTAGCGGGGGCTAACTTTTCATCTTTTGGAAGTTGTGACGAAGATGTGGTTGTTGAAGTGTTCTCTTTTGATACTCCATCCCCCAGTTGCGATGAAGCACCACCCATTCTCAAAGAAGGCTGCAAAGAGTTGGGAAACAAAAGATCGATGATAGCTATCAGATTAGCATTATAATCAGCCAACAGAAGGGCAAAAGATATTCATACACCAAATCGTGTTAATAGAACCAGCCTTCCGAAAGACAAAAACTACAACAAAGGTAACTATCTTCTTTTTTTGATATAAGTAATGAAGAATATTTCAGATGGTAAACTTGTACTGAGGCAACGAAAAGAGATTACAGATTATGCAACTCCTTTGTCGTGCCTAACAATGCATGTACGTTATTTACAAGAGACAAGTTGCACCAAGAAAGCTAGTAAAACAACACATCTCTGTTTAAGGCCAATTATCTACGTCCTTAGCCTCGAAAAATTGTACTGTTCCTTTCCAGCCAACAGTCCACCAGATGACATGTGGTATAACGTTCCAAAGTTTCAATGGACTTCTTGTTCAGACTCTTTCTTTTCCAGCAATGCAGTAAACAACGGTCACTATCTAAAGTAGTGAAACCTACAAACTATAACCTTGTCAATCAGATATGCTCCCCTACCAAAAATGTTACCCACCAATTATCATTTCAAATTAAACTTCCCATGGTAACACTTTAAAATGATCAAACTTCTAATGACGCACGATGAATTGAGACAGAAAAAGTGCTATGAAATCCAATTCAAATACCTAACCACCACACCACCCATAAGAAGAGAACATGCAAGAGAGGAGAATACAAAGCCATTACAAGAATTTTACAATCTTCTGCAAATTTTCTTCTCTTTTTACTTCTTTCAAAGGGAACGCTCTAGAATCTACAGTACTTTTGCCGCATCTTACTGCATTCCAGTCATCAGAAAAACACATCCTATGTTACCTACACCAGTAGTAATAAATCTTAGTCTTTAGTATTCTTAAGTATCACCTCTTCTTCGTATTTTCTCCTTATTCAAGAGCTATTCCAGCTACTATAAGTAATGAAACTTTCTGCGTATCAACACACGCTCTAAAAGTTCCAAGCAATTTCAATAAACAAGGCTCTCATATGACATGATTTCTTCTTTCTACCCCTCCTTATTTGGCACCGTTTCCCAGTTAACATCTTTAAAACAAAAACACTTAGACACTTATCTATGTCTGCATATTAATATCTTCTAATCCTTCTACTCTCCTCTTTCCGTTACTTTGTGTAAATCACAGCAAACAAAAGTAGGGCTAATGCAAATTCCTTCAACAATATAAGAGACCTTCCGTTGGATACGCTACTTCTTATCACAAGATGTACTGTCCATCCAGGTCTGCATGATGCAGTCTAGATGCCTTCATCAAGTGAAATCCTAATAAACACAAATAGTACGCGTCCTATCTAAAGAACTTTACACTTCTGACAAGTGACAATACAACTACACACCGAGGCGGATCTATAGGATGAACCTCTCGACACAAAAATCACATTTAAACAAAAAAATTATGTATATATAGAGATTTTGAACCTCCTAAACATAAGATTAGAAGTTGACTTAGTAACTGAGAGCGTTCAAAATTCACCTTGAGGTTCCTAGTTAAAAATATCAAGCACTACATTTTTTCAATTTTTCGAATCCCTCGCTAAAGATCCTGGATCCGCCACAGACTACACAAACACAAACACAAACTGACACTGACAATACAGAAATATACAGCAATTGACACACAGTACATCATATAATAAGTATAAAAATCAGTAAGAAGATTTCATTACAGTAATCCTTTAACTTGTGAAGCTCAAATAAGCATCTCAAAAATTGTCTCTAACCCTAATATCCAAAGCGACGATGCAAATAAAAAAAATAATCAAGGATTTAAGCGTGTTACAAGAGATAATTGATTGAAAAACACCATGTAAGAGCAGTTGTAATCGGCAAAATAAACTGAAAATTCATAATTTTTACGTACCTTTAAGTTCGTTTTTTTCTTCTTCTTCTTCTTCTCGGAGAAGAGAGGGTTTATGAAAAGGTTTATGTGGACAAATTCCTTGCTACGTTTTACATCAATGGCTGCATTTATTGGCCTCGAGTTTATATGAAATGACAAAACAGCCCCTAAGTTTCCAAATAGACACCCCCACCCCTACTCTTTGTGTTATTACACAATTTATGTTCGCGTTGAAACGTGGTGTGTAAATTGCGTTTCGTGCTTGTACATCTTACATTCTCGGATGTGGTTTTATAAATTACGATTTTTTAAATAAGTCTAGAATGTGACTTGTGAGTTACGCTAATGTAATTTGAATTTTACATTTTACTTCTCGGTGCCCACCCCATTAAAAGAACTAAGAAATTAATTGAGAATAAAACTTATCTTTTACTTTTATCTTAGTCTGATTGTTTAGAGTGTGATTGCCGAGTCACTAAACGAAGTCCTCTGTTTCTTCCGAAGGTATCTACCAGCAATGAGAAAGAGATAACTAAGTACTAAATGAAGTCCTCTTTTTCTATCGGTGGACCAACAATGAGACATAGATGACTAAGTGACATGGAATATGACAACGACAACAACATATTGTAGAGGTGGAACCAACGACCCACTATTACTAACCTATCTATATTTACATGCCGAGCGATAGTCAAACGGGAGTAGTGTGAATGTGAGACACCAGCGGAATGATCGGCCAGAGAAAGGCTAGGGCTGCTTCCTTCCCATCACGTCCCTTTGAGTGTATAAGAGATATAAAGCGACTGTAGAGAAAAAAATTTGTGTCAAAATGAAGAAAAAAATGTGAATATTAACATTTTCTTTATGTAAATTTGTCTCGCCTTGGTTATATAGTTGTTTGTACTTCAATGGATTCAAAGTATATATTAACACATACATTTGTTACATTTATATAAGGTCATTTATAGTCATGAAAGTCGAAATAGTAGAAAATTTGTTTGACCAAAGTGTGGCGCATATATTACTAACTGTTTTTTTAATTTATAGAATATTAATTAAATCATATAATTTATTTATTTATATTATTTAGTGATAGTATTTAGGGAAGTTTTAAATGACTTATTCTACTGGTTATTAAAAAAGCATGTGTTTCCATCATAGCAAACTTTTTCAAGAACAAGTTGCGGACACTACCACATATTCTTTTCTCCATTTGGTGGTCTAAGTTTACAACATTACTGGAATTTCCGTGCAAATTCAAATTTAATCAAGCTTCAGATATCAAGTTTTAATATAGATATCAAATATCGAGTAAAAACCATAAAGAAAAAAGTTTACAACATTACTATCCTGCACTTGATCATCATGGCTAGAGGTAACACTAAATTCTGCTACAAAGTTAGTTATTTGTATGCATATGTTTCCGTCTATAAATTCTAATAGCAGTGAAAACGAGGGTTCAGTAGACAAAGTCAGAAAAAGGGCAGTGAAGTCTACAAAACAAGAAATGAGCAACCTATTATTTAAAAATTAGTGATATCTACAATGTTAATTGAATTGATATTCACAACCTCAAAGGCAAAAACTAATTTCTTTCTTCTCACATCGGACAAGTACCTATCAAAATTGTCCTAACCTTTTTGTTCAATCAATAGTGAGGAACAAAAACAGGTTTGTATAAATAGATTCTTCTCTTTTTGCTTCCCAAAAAAATGAAAGGCAAGAATATCAAAATGTAGTACTGCTTCCCTTACTCCCAGACCCAACTTTACGATGTCGCCTTGAGTTAGACTTCCTTTCACCTTTTCCGCGCTTTGGAGGTCTCCTTACTGGAGGTTTACTAGAAGAACTATCACGAACCAAAGCCGGTGGAGGATGTGCACGACTTCTCACTACTGTCATGTGAGCCCTTTGCTCCAGTAAATCTCTGTGGTATGCCTGCATAGATTTGGTATATGCTCTTTTACTATGCGAAAGTATTGTATGTACTGAACAGCAAAAATTAAGGCAAGTAACTAAGCTAAACCGTAAAACATTGTATCCAACGTAAGGGGGGATTTTCCCTTGTGGATGGATACCTGTATCACGAAATTTCGCCTCTCACAATCCAAAAACATGTTGACGTTCCAGCTAACTTTTGCCATCAATTTGTCCCTGACAGTGGAAAAGCTCAGTTGGTCCCTAGAGGTAAAACGGTCAACTTCATTGAACCACAGACAGGTGAACAGATTTGTGATGGGAATATGCTCCTTTATAATAACACATCCTTCGGGAACATCTGCAGAATGTTTAATGAGCTAAGTAAATTTTGAGAGCGAGTGGTCAAATGAAGACAAGGTGTAAGTGTGGACTCACCACTGGTAATAGGAAGCTTAGCCTCTGAATATGCAGTTAAACCTTCTTTCTTGTAGAAATCAATTTGGTGGTCGATGGATACATTATCATACTTCCCTGCAGCTTTATTAGCTTCAGCTTCTTCAAAGACGTCAAAACGTCTATAATGTCTTGAAATAGCAAAAGTAGCATTCTGGCGCCACAAGAATCTGACATAAAGGAATAGGAAAGAAGAAACTCATAAAGTTATAGTAGAGGTGAGATATCGCAACTAGAAGGGTACAGGCCAACAAGAGAATGAATCATTTATTCGGCTGCCGTACACACTACTAAAACAAATAGAATATGGCCATGTTGAAGAGAAACTATACCGCAACAGGGAAAAAAAATGAAAATAAACTACCAAACTGTTGCGCCTCTCAAGGTAATCCTCAATAACTCATTGGTCATTGTCTAAGGGGTGGCATCATAGGGAAACCCTAGGGCTGCACTATCCTGCCTAATAAATTCTTACAAAATGGTATGTACAAAGCACATTCAAGGTGCAACCCACAAATAAAAGATGGGTACCATCATTGCATTGACCGTTCATTGCTCAATCCTTTCACTACTACAATCATTTGATCAATACCTAAAATGAAAAGATACAAGTATGTATATTATTTTTTCTAAGTATGCATCTTATCCTTTTTCACCTTTGGAAAATCAACCTCATCATTGATAAAACCCCTTTGAGTTGGCATATAAAATCCAGGAAATACAAAAAAATCAGCAACAACAATCGGGTTTTTAGATGATGCAGACTTCATCAGCTCCAACCCCCAGTAATAACCCTGGAAATATCAGCTTCACCCCATAGCTAACAGCTTAGCACTAGCGCTATCATAAGAATAGGAAAAAGTGATGTGCATATAAGATGAAAACTATTATTGGGAAGCTTAAACGAAAATGAATTAGATCTATTACCAAATAAGAAACATGTACAGTAGCTAGCCATTATTAAAAACCGTTTTCCCTTATTACCAATAATAAGCCATTGCTAGAACTTAATAGTAGAATCTCTCCAAGCACAAGGCATTCCAACCGGCATACAAGGACACAAGAGTCAGTAAAACCAAATGTACCTCTCAAGAATCTGGTAGGGATCCACAATGAGCTGAAGCTTTCCATCTATCCAAATAGAATAGCGGACATTAGGAAAGAGCCTATGCAGTAGGAGCTTAGGTACCTGCCACAGATACATCTCTTTCAACCAAATCCATATTCATATGTTCTACTTCTAATCCACACTTCACATATGAAAGAGTTACTGTAATTATACGCCATGAAAGAAAAATATAATGAAGTCAATTCAAATTGAAAAGGAAAAAAAAAGAAAAGGTAAAGACATTGCATATATTCTATTAACTCTTGGCATGTAGGTTTGTTCTCTCTTCTTCTTTTTTTCTAACTCTTGTAGGTTTGTTCTCATCACCATATGTGAAGATAAAGTTAGACAGTTACGTTGCCATAGGGCTAAGGTCTAGTGGTAAAAGTGCAGTGCTGATGTGTCGTTTAGGCACATGTAACGGGTTTAAACCCTTCTGTAGACAAAAAGCTTGATATTTAAGTGGAGAAGGGTAGAGTGATGGTCCCAATTTCCCACCGAGTTTCGAACCATGTGCCTCTAGCCCTCAGGGATTTCAGATTATCTAAAAAAGAAGTTTAAATTACTTCGGCAGCATGGCCTCAACCAAAAGAAAGTCCCTCAATCTGCTGACAATCATTTCCGGGCAGAGGTGTAAAAGACTAACTTAACAGTGATTGGGATGCTATACTACAGAGTCCCACAATAGATATTTAATCTTAGTAAAAGGCAAAAGAAATATATGATACACCCCAAGTTCATTACTTTTCTTTTTCTTTTTTTTTTGTTTCCTACATACAGCATGCTTAGAATTTAGTGTCTTTTCATACCCAGATGCCACATCAAGCACTCGCATAACCTCAACTAGTCAACCCCTAAGAAGAAAGAAGATTAGAGAAACAACAACAAACCCAGTGTAATCTCATAGCTGGGGTCTGGGGAGGGTAGGATGTATGCAGGCCTTACCCTACCTTTGTGGGGTAGGGAGGTTGTTCCTGAAAGACCCTCAGCTTATTCCAAGCATGGTAGGAAGCAGGTTAGAGATCAGGTTTAAAATTTGATAGAAACCATGATTGAGATGGGGGGATTTAAAAGAAAACTATAAGAACAAACCTTCCCATTGCGTCTCGCATCAGAATAAGGCACATTGCGAACAAGAATAATCCTCCATAAACCAACCCTATTTCTGCTATCCAAGAGGCTAGAGTTCTTCAAGGATGCTTCTGTTTCTTCATCAACAAACATATAAAAGGGAACTTTTTCTCGTGTAGTTTTACCCCAGTTCTTTGGCTGTTGAATCACGTCATAATTTCCTGTAGAGCATTTATGTAGATATAGGTAAGGGATATCTGCATTTGCTTTATGCTTATAAGGTTCACAGTGCTGTAGATAGATGATTGTGGTTTTGTTACTAGCCACTTCTATCTTGGCTACATTTTCTAATCCTCTTTCACCTTATACTCCTAGATTATTAATTAAAAATAAAAAGATGAAACTATGGAGCATAGCTATAGAGTACCAAATATGGCTGATGCCACAATGACATCATGGAATTGCTCCATCTCCTTTAGATCCGCCGCGTCGATGTCAAACCCTGTTCTATCACCAGGTCTACAACCTTGGACAAATCTGACCCAAATATATTAGGGATGAGACAGAGAGCAAATACTCTGGAAGGAGGACAAAAAACTAAAGCCAACAACAATAAGACAAGTGATTGTGTCAAGATGACAAGTGCAACTTACCCACAATGCACAGTCATTGACTCTTTTATTTCAAACGAAGCATTCCTCTCCGCCAAAGAAGGGTACCCACCAAATGCAGAACCCCTATGAGGTTCAGTCTTCATGGGAATTTGCTCGTGGAAATAAGTTAAATGCTGAAGCCCGGGTGACACTGACGGGACTCTAGGCATACGCGCTATTGCTTGATCCACAGGAACGTAGCATACAGGACATGCTGAATGAAAATGAAAGAGAGCACAACCCAGATTTACACATTATGTGAAGTGCTGATCAAAGCAAAGGATATAATACAATATTGTAAAGCTACGAAATAAGATAGGGTTGGAAAAAGGTGAATTTTACACTTACGTCGAGGCCCAATTCGCCTCCTATCACCAGGTGGAGGAGGAGGAAATGCAAAATTTCGACAAGGATCGGGAAAAGCAGTGGAATCTTTAGTCTGTATCATAGACAAAGCATGGGGAGGAGGAAGCTGGGCATTATGCTCACCGCATACCACAACCTTCCCAGGCAATAATGCAGATAGATGGTATGTGCTGTTTTCAAACCACTCCTTGAAGTCCAATTCAGAACTCCTTGATGCATCCTCTGATAATCGCAAAAACTCTTGTAAGAAAATCAGGAAATCCATCTCATAACAAATTACAAAAGTAAGTTCAATACTAAATAAAATGCAGTATACAAGTGATGATGGTTTTGCCACTTCTCACGAAGAAATAAGGCTAGCACGACATTACCATGCCTTCTTTTTTTCTCTTTGTTGGACATGAAATAGATCGATACTCCAATGATGCTCCAAAAGAAGAAAGACAAGTAAGAGTGAACAAACAAATCACTGTAAATCTATGATTGCAGTAGTGACACAAATTAAGTGCATTTCTGATTTCACAGCTCAACAGGGGATAAATAACTACTCCTTTTGCTGCAACGCCACCCTCAGAGAAAAAAAAACTATCAAAGTTTTTCTTTATTATCAAATCATTATTCCCATTAACAGCTGTAGAACTTTAAGCTTATAACTTCCAAATAGGACCCTTACAGAGAAGACATGCTAATTTAACTAGATAATTTGTACGAACTAGAATATCTGTCTTTCCATATTTGTTTTATTATTTCACTCCCTGTTTCAATTTGTTTGTTTTACTTTCCTTTTTAGTCGGTTTCAAAAATCATGTCTCTTTCCTCTTTTGGCAACTATTTAGTTTCAACTCTCCACCTGGCATCTTTAAGACCACAAGATCAAATGACATTTCGGGATAGTACGAATATTTTAAATTTAAGACCACAAGCTTCTTGACTTTTTTAAACTCCGTGTCAAGTCAAACCCAACAAACAAACTGGACAGGAGGGAGTCCTAAATTTCATGATGATATTAGGCTACACCAATAGAGCTGGAGATCAAGAACAAAATTTAACACACTTCTCTTCAATACATTAGACGTTACAACACCAGAAGCCAACATAGAGCAAAAGTCCATTGCTCTCATTATACAGTCTAGAAAATGACAGACTTCATTCTATTAAAACCAACATTTTCATTTTAATTGGTCGTTCCCTTCACCTATCCACAATATGCATTAGGTCCTATTAATAAAAGGTATTAGAGCATGCACTCCTCGCAACCCATCAGAAGAAATAAAGCTACTAAAGTTTAAAACTTAAATACATCCCTATTCCAGACAACAAAGAAACCAAAAGGACTTTCAGGAAACGGACCTTTATTAACCATCCAAAATGCTGTAAGAAAAGCCAAAAGTGCAAACGCAGCTAAAATCAGCATTCCAACTTGTTTTCGCACCAAAAACCTGAAAATAGAGGGAAGAAACTTTTCCTTCTCTCTGTAAGTAGAGAGTGATATCTTTGAACCTTTACGCGAGACAAACGAATTACTGTGAGAGTACAGAACTCCATTCTGTGCCAATTGCTGCAAAGACCCATCGCTTACTGTACGAAGGCCCAATGACCACCCAGTCATTGTTCCTCAAACCACAAAATAACAGCAACAATCATCTCTTTCTTCCTTCTAAAAACCCTTTCATTCACTATACTCCCCAACTCTTCAGGCCTTCGCAACTTAAAAATTCCTCCTCCAAGGTAACACTGTCTCACCTCCTCATCACCCCGAGATCCCCAATGTTGACGTACTGAATCAGTATAAATATCCTTCTTCTAACACAACAAATCCAAATCCAATTCTATAGATCGCCAAATCAATCAAAATCCAATTCACTATACACCTATACTATAACCAAAAAAAAAAAAACATCACAAACTAACTCCAACTCCAAATTAAACAATACTTCCAAAAAAAACATCAAATTGATCTCAAAACACAACGGAACAATTAACTAACCAAAAAATTCAAAAAAAAAAATTCACCATGAATAATGCAGTACAGAATTCAAATCTGGACAAGTTCCAGCAGAATAGATCAATTCAAAAACGGAGAAATAAAAGAGGTTTAACGATTTACCTGAATCGGACAGCAAATTTTTCTGAGAGCTGTAAGAATCCAAAATAGGGCTTGAATTTCGCTTTTTTCCGTTCGAATTACCGGAAAAAAGTTTCCTATTTGGGGGTCTGATTTTATAATTCTCTCTCTATACGACTCGGCTTTTTTTTTTTTCTTTTTCTAGTATTTCGTCCCCTTTTGTCTTTAATTAATTTTTTGCTAAATTTGATGATGAAGTGTAATAATATTATTTGTCTAGTACTATGATTAAATTAAATCATATGGATATGAGGATATTCCTTTTTATTTTTTCTTTATGTTTTATATAAGTAATTTATATTTAAGAAACGTTTGTTTAATAGAGTGATATATATTTTTGTCTTATTAATATATTTAATCATAATTTATAAGTTGATTTAGTTTGATAAAGTTATTAAGTGTTGGTACGTTTGTCAGATGTTTATCATTTTATTAAATGGCGAATTGATTAGAAGAAAATGTTGAGATATTAAGTTAGTCTTATTGAAAGGAGATATTTTATCAATTAATTATTTTGAAAAAGTAAAAAAATTTAAAATATTGAATTTTTAATTCATCTAATTCTTAATTAATAGAGGTAAAATAGTAAATTCATTATGTTAATTATTCTTTTTTTTTTTAATATATGAGTCAATTTAAAAGTAGACAAGTAATTGAGGACGGAGAGAGTAGGTGATAAATAGAGCTATCACTTGTTATAAGAGTTGTTAATTTGCATGTGTAAAATTATCGACAAGGAAACTAAGGCCTGTTTGAATTTAACTTTTGGCTTATTTTTATTATTTTAACTTTAATAAGCATTTTTTAATTTTATTCAAACACCTAAAATAATTCAATTCAAACGGCATCAATTCCAATGCACTATTTAATGTTGTTTTCTTTTGTCGTGTCTTTAATTACCGTCAAATTTTCCTAAAAAGGGAAAGCTATAAATATCCACAATTTTTTCTCTATAGGTAATAATATCTATAACAAAAATTAATTGGTTGCTTTAAAATTGAATAGTGTGAAATTTTAATGAAAACTTGGATGATTTGGAAAAACGTTTACTTCTATTATTATGTCATTGTAGAAGGAAATAACAAAATTTTATTTATTGATAAATTGTTGTCATTTCTAACACAATCACACGATACAACGTGTTGAAGATATGAAATATGTTGAACAAAATGAATAGAATTTGAGTCATACTAGGACTGGGCTACTAAAAATTGACTAGGCTGCCATGTCGACCACTACTCTTGTAAATTATTTTATATTGTAGTAAAACTCTAAGTATAGTAATCTAGTCGACTTTTAATAGCCCACTCCTGTGACTCTTAACACTAACATTTAACAGTTATACACAGTTGATTGTACCACGTTGTTCAATATGTTCCATATCCTTTAATCTTCAACACAAGGAAACTATAATATCCATTTAGTTACTAAATAAAAAAAGTCAAACTACAAATAAGAATGAAGCAATGAAGTTTTTTTATCCAAACATGAAATGGAAAAAAGTAGTCAAGTCTACCACTATTTTGAAGAGAATTTTGCTTTTGTAATAATATGGACTATATTCATATAAGTAGAGAAAGAAAAACGAAACTACCAGTACTAAATTCAACTCGTAAAATTGTAATCGAATTGATTTATGTTAATTCTTGAACATTCTCTCCTCTCCCATCTCTAATGGCTTCAAATTTCAAGATGATAGTGCTTGTGATGCTTTGCAGATATAGCGATAACTGGAAAGGGCTGTTCAAAGTCTTCTGAGATTCCAACTGATCACATTTATCAGTAACATTCTTTGGATTGGGAAGGTGAATGTCAATGGCAATGTTATTCTCCTTTGGAAAGCTGTGTGTATCAGTCTGGTAAATAGACTTGATTTCATTACCAAAATGAGCATGGAACTGTACAGATGAAGAGAGGGTGTTGACATTACGCTAATGAGCATGAAACAGTGTGAATGTTGGACATTGGCTAATGAGCATGGAACAGTACAGATGAAGGGAGGATATGTTGGACATAACGCTCCAACAGCCTCCTGGCAATGTAAAAGTAACTAAACGGGACTAAACCAGGCAACAACTATAATAAAATTGTATGATTGGAAAGTGATAGTGGTTCTCCAGTCAAGTACTGAGTTTGGCTACTCTCCTGCTTTGATATGGACTTCTTGAATCACCTGATCTGTCTAACTAGTTGTAGTCTATTTCTTTTGGATGGGATTTTCCATTTAAGCAGATGTAAACTTTCAACTTCACAGAACTAAGAACTAACAAATAGCACAGATAATTTGAGGAGTTTCTATTACCACTTCAAATGATGCAACATAGAGAGCTATAAAGAGAGTGAAGACCTATATAACTTCCACAATAGTATCATAGAGTAGAACTGCTCGAAAAAATCACTTGATGAGTACTTGTGCTGATGGTTGAGAGATTCAAATGAGTGTGTTTCCATGAATATGGACACTGTTTTGACTTAAAGGACGTGCACAAGGTGTTGTAGCTTGATAACTTATGAGGAACATGATTCACTTGAAAAGATTCAAGCATGAGGTTCTGTAGCCTGACAACTTAGATTGATAACTGTGAGGATAGGATACTTTCAAGCTCTAGCAATCGTATTCAACTGACAGTTGTACGATTACCAAAATTGAATGCTTACCAGCAAGAAAATAACACTTAACCAACTCCGGGAGTTTTGGGTCTTCAAGATCAACTTTGAATGGGAGGACATCTAAGAGCCAGTTTGGCCAAGCGGTTTGGAAGCCCAAATTACTTTTTGGGAGAAAGAAACACCTTTTTGGAAATTTGCGATGGTTGGCCAACAAGCAGTTTTAAACCGCTAGGCCAAACCAGCTCTAAAATAACTAGTTAACCTTCAGAGATGGTGAACACTTCTTAGGACACGACTCTTTCCGACCCATGATAATGATCCCCTTACTAGAGGTGTATAACATATAACATGACAAAGAGTTAAAATCACGATTAGTGAAGTCTCTCTGGTATTAATGGAGAAGGGTAAAAATAGAACGCATAAATCATCCACTATGAGTTTCGAAGCTGGATAATGAAACCTCTTTGAGGCTAACTTTTCTTTTGTATCTCTAAGGTTGATTCCTATTTCTAATGCAGGAGTGATGGTGTCTTGGATAAGTCGCGACAACTCTCTTCTTTGCAGTTGTGGAGATGTCAATTGAAACCATAATACTTTCATTTTGTCAAGATTCAGAGGAGCATCAAGGAACTGCTCAATACGCCCCCGCCTTTTCTTCTTGAGACTTTAAATGACCAAACTGAGATGCAAAGCCTTAAACAATGATCAACGATATCTCATGCATTTGCTTCAATTTTTAATATTTCAAGTGTTAATGTATGGATGATCACTTGAAAATAGCTATCGTGAATTCTTACCCCCATACATAAGCAATGCCTACTAACAACTAAATAACATATCAAAATTCTAATCACGATAACAATAACAATAACATATTCAGTAGAGTCTCACAAGGTAGAAAAAATCTTTCTAAAGACCCTCCACTCGACTCGAGTATAGCAAATCAAAGTAGGTAAATCCAATTTGCGACCATATATGAAATACTTTGCTAAGTTAAGAAGTTTCAATAGCACAATTCGATCGGGTTTTTTCAAATTAGCTCATAATTAATCGAGTTGCATGCAAGCTGATCCAAACAATTATACATTGCATCAAAATACATCTTGGAAAGAAAAATGGAGTGATGAAATGAAAAGTACCTAAACAACGTCACTCCTTATTGAGGACTTTGGGAACTTTGATGTAAGGGTCCTCAAAGCTTGGCACAGCAGAAATCAATTCTTCTCTATTCTCAAACTTCTCCGGTACGTCTCCACGCAAATTATCTCCTTCAGTATTTGCTCTAATCGCTGGCTCAATACTCTGTAAATCAACAGCTTGAAGTTGTCCAAACCAATCTACAACTTGTCTAATTTTGGGAGCGAATTCTTCAATTTCTTGTGGATTGAGTGAAATTCGAGCAGTTTCAGCCAAACGTGGAACATCTGGAGGTTCTAGAACACTCGATTTCACGGTGTAGCTTCGAAAAGCCACTGGTAATCGGGAAATGCGATTTTTACTGAAATTGAACAAGGATGTACCATTGGCAGTTCTTGTTGGTTTCAGATAATGCAAAGCACTGATGCTTCCCATGGATGGCGTTTGGAAAATGAAGACGGTGAGGTAGGCGGCGGTATACGGTGGCAGACGGCGGAAGACGGCACCACTGTGAGAAGTCTAGGATTACCAGATTTTGGAACAAAGGGATTTGGGCTTCAGATATCAATCTTCATGGGCTTTGGCCCATTAAATTTTGGGCTGAAATCAACTAAGCTAAGGGGCAAGTGCACAAATAGCCCAAATTTTTAAGAATCTTAAAGCTATATCGAAATTAAAAATTCAAATTTACGAGATTAAAGTTGAAAGTTTTGAGTCTAAAGTTTGATTTTTCGAGTCTAACTACGAACCTATATATACGAGATTGACATATTGTATTACAGTTCAAACTTCAGATGTTTGAGTTTAAAATTATATTTAACAATCTTCATCATTTTTGAATATTAAACTACAATTCAAACTTCAGATGTTAGTTTAGAATTAGATTTGACGGTCTTTATCGCTTTTGGTCCAAATGTCATAAAGTTGAAAGCTAATTAAGCCTAATTTCATATGTAAATGGTTGAAGTTCAACCTATTTGTCTTTAATTCATTAACTACACTTTATTTCTTGGTTGATATATTATCAATTGAAGTCTAATGTTTTTTATGTCATACAACAACTCATAAATTAGAAAATTTAAGTTTGTTTTTCTTCTTCTATTTTTTTTTAAAAAATGGGGGTAGGAAAAAAGAAAATAGGGAGGAGATTGTGAGATGGAAAATTGTATCTACACGAAAATTCGAATAGTCATTGAACCGAGTTACTAAGATTTTCCCATTTAAGTTTTGTTTTTATCAACTTACTATGGAGTAATGTCCTTTGAAGTTAATCTCTGGTTATTTAAACTCACACTCAAATTTGAAACTCTATATCCATAATCAAAATCAAAACTCTGATGTTTGACTTATAGGTGGTCAAATCTTAAAATTTCTACTATTCTTTACACAGTGATAATTCTAAAAATGACTATTTATATCCTTTACCTTCGAAATATTTTTTCTAATACTTTAATTTTCGCACATTAAAAATATATTTTTTCCTAAAAATTGATTGGATTATTTTGTTAATTTTATTTCCATTCCTAGTAGGACCAAAAAACACAGATAGAACTAAAGCCCCTTGATGTGGGCTGGTCCTACTCACCCGTTGCATTGTCTGGTCAAAACAAGGCACAACCATTAATTTCATGCATCAATTATTACTACTATTCATTATTAAATATCTTAGTATGTAATCATGTGCTTCTACTTTTTCTTATAATTATTATTTCTCGTTCGGCATCACAATTTATATTAAAGCTCTGATTAAATTTAGACCATGTATCACAGGGCTCTTTCAAAGGGTTGGCACTTCCAAATAAATTTTCTTCATATCTGTAATTAAAACTAAAAACTTCTGATTAAGATTAAAACAGTTTCATCATTACATCACAATTCGGATCGCTGCTTCTTTTAGTCTTCATTCACCTCAACCATATCTTCTCCTTTGCTATTTAAATACTACTATTTAATTTGGAAAAAAAAAACTTCAATATTGAAATCCAAAAGTATAGTTAGTAATGTCGTATTGTGATAATACACAAGTTTATTTATATACCAAATTTATTATGAGAGGTAGAGTTTGAATTTTAAGTTTACGTATGATAAATTTGTATCTAATTTCAAAATTAAAATTTGCTAATATTCTTAATATGAATATAAGATTTAAAAGAAAAATTATTAAGTTGATTTGAATACGTAAGTAAGGTTCTCCCTTCACAAATGGAACTGATGACCAAACAAAAATAATATTTACTTCATCCTATATTAGTTGTCAACATAATTAAAAAATAATTGTTTCAAATTATTTGTAAATTTACAAAAATATTTAATTTTTCTATTTTACATTAGCATTAATTCTTTTTGAAAATGTAAATAAGTGTAATTTTTTTTTTAAATAAATATCTTCAAAGTAAATTAATATAATCATCATTTTTATTTATTATTTTTAAGAGGTAGGTAAAGAAGAAAATATTATATGCTCGGATGAAAAAACCTTATTAGTTAACCCACATTTGATTATTTTATTACGTAAATAAGTGCATTGCAACGTTTTATTATTCATTAATTACGAATAGTTAAGAAATCTCACTTTATTTGTAATTATTATTAATTTAATATAAATATCAGTTACAAATATTTTTTTCTTTCATATGTTGCCATAGTAGGAATATATATGTTTTATTTGTTTTATTTCTTCTTAATGACTTAAATCAATATCAACTAATTCCGTTTCATGCTAATAACAATCAAGGATAAAATAATTAATTAAAGAGTCAATCCTTGACCATATTATAAAAGCTAAAATAGGGCCACTAATTTAGTTTAACTAAAATATATTTGGACTTGCCTTACTCAACATTAAATTCTTTCTTAAATTCACAAATTAAATTGTTTTCCTAAAAACACCTTTAAATAAAACTTTCTTATATCATCATAATAACTCGTTACAATTATTTTTAGAAAAAACTGAGTTGAATTAATTACAAGATTGCATGAAATCCATCAACATATATTTCTCCCTCCGTAAGATATTATTTGTCATAATTTATATTTTTAGAATTAAACTATAAAAATTTTAACTAAAATTTTAAGATATATTTTTTCATTATATTAATATGCAAAAAATTATAATTTATCGTACTTTTCATATAGTTTTAAAATATCTGATTTTTTTATTTAAAATATCGAATTAATATAACCTAATTTACCTTTAAAAATTAATCAAATTAACTTTCAATAAGCGTCACATGACAAACAATTTCGGACCAACAAAATATTTCAATATAAGGCAGGCATATGTTGAACAACTCTTAATATGGACCACGCTAATTAAAGTTATGCATTAACAAAAGAAAATCAACTGAAATGTCTTTTTTTTTATAGAAAATAGTGATATTTTCTTTTGTTTTCAAACTTTAAAAACTCACATCCAACAAGATAATAATTGTTTCGATAATTAATATTTTATATTTTCCTCTGATTATATTTTTATAAATCTATTGAAGAATTCACAATTGCATTGATAACCAATTTATATATAATATTGGTCAAGAGGAGATGATTATTCGGGTCCATATAAGAAGATTGTTACTCTGTTTCTAATTAGTATAATACATTACATCACTATGAAACGTTCTAATAAATATATGATCATTTCTATTGACTACAAAATTTTACTACTTCATCCATTAATTTTACTTGACGCTGTTTGATTTGGCACACCTATTACTATACTATCCCTGTTAAGTGATGTTCAATATTTAATATCAAGAGATAAGAGTCTGAAAAATATCCCAATTTTGGTCGAATTTATTGTTGCGATACTAAACTTTGATGAGGACCTATTACCACCCTAGACTATTTAATACCGTATTTAAAACATATATATTTGTCCACGGACATAAAAAACAATGCAAAATTATAAAAAAGTAATATGTCCACGCGAGCACACATGTACCTTTAAAATAACACTATTAAATAGTTCAGGAATAGAAAATACACTATTAAATAGTTTAGGAAGATAATAGATCCTCATAAAAGTTGAATATTGCAACAATAAATTCGATTAAAGTTGAGGTATTTTTCAAACCCTTACCTTACTATCAAGGGTAAATTATAAAAAAAAATAATTATCCTTTTTTTTATATGTAAAAAGTGCATGTAAACATGAAAATCTATTTTAAAAGTAAACATAAATACATGAATTATATGATACAAATTTAAATTAATTACGATTAGTAATATGAATATCGAATATCAAATTATTATTTTAATGAAAAAGGAAATATGAAGCAATTGGGTTTAAGGGGGGTGGAACCCACATATGCTTTAATTGGTGTAATTAAAACTCATAATTAATGACTTTTTTTAAAACAATGGTGGGGGTAATAAGTTGCTCAGTATGGTAAATGAGGAATAATAATTGCACTTAAAGGTCTCAACTTATCATATTAATGCGTGAAGACCCCACAATTTAAAAGTAGAAAACCAAACCAGTCCCCCACCCACCCCACCCCCTACCCCCACCCCCCAAAACAAAGCCACATTACTTTGTGCAGAAAACAGAGAACAGAAGTACAAGACACTTCTACCCCTACGCGCCTTTATTACCACGCGCCTTCACGACCACAACTGGAGTTTGTACTGCTCTACAGGTGGCTATATGGTCCCACTTATGGACAAAAACTACTAATTATGCTAAAAAAAAATGGAAAGAAAAATCTACTAATCACATGTGATAATAAATAATTTACAAAAATAAAATAAAATAGATATGAGTACAAAACAAAGTTTGACTATTGAGGCACTGGTGATTATTTTTATTTGGAAAATTTAAATTGAGTCTTATAATGTGTGATTTATATTTAAAAGAAATTTTAATATGGACATAGAAAATGAATAAAAATATATAGATAATTAAACTAATATTTTACTCCTACATTAATGCTCAATTTTGACTTAATTTGTTTGATACTGAAACATAATCATTATTATGTTAATTTTGTGTTTTTTGATATGATATTATTTATATATTTCATTTTGAATAAGAGTGAGTTTAAATTAAGGTGTGTGATTCAATAATTAATGAAATAAGTTAAAGGATTACGGAAATTCTTATTTAAAGTTTATTTAGAATTAAAATGTTAGCTAATTTCGATAAAGCTATGACATTAGGGCGTAAATTAATTAAAAAATTAGCTCGCGAGAAGAGGATTGTCCAAATCTATAAAAGCAGGCCTTATATGACACTTGACCTAAACCAATCCCAAAAGTTAGTTCATGGGAGGAGGATTGTAAGTTCACAAAGATAAACACCCAATCAATTCTCCAACCATATGAAACTTTTACTCAATTTAACGTCAGGATACAACAAATGACGTAATTCAACCCTAAAAACTAGCTGTCGGGTGAAGATTGTTGAATTCCATATAAACAGACCTCCCGTCTATTTTTTTAATGTGGGACATTTACCACTCTAACAGTCCCGTATCCATTTAACATCTTGCCATCTAGACTACTTCACCTTCCATTTCAAGTTTGTATCCTAGCATAAGAAGAAATCTATTGAGTGCAATTTAAGTTTGTACTTCGATTAAAGAGATGACAAAACAAATCAGC